TTTAAAGAGTTTACTTCGTATCTGTTGGCTAAGACCATCTCCAATGTATTTCTCTATTTTTTTCTTTTAAAATAATCACTCAATTGTATTTCTATTTTAGAAGAATTGATATTTTTGACTCTATTTTAGGGGATAATATAGCATTCTCTACATTTTCCTCCAAATAAGAGTAAAAAATAGCAATCTCTATTTTAGAGATGAAAATAGAGATGAGTTGGAGAGGAAATAGAAGATTGCTATTTTTTTTCTATTTTTAAAGGAATAAATAGAGGTGGATTAAAGATGCTCTATAAGATGGAGATGCAAACACGGCCTTCTTTCATATGACTGTGATTGCACACCAGGCTAGGAACGCAATTAAATATCTCAGAGATGCTCAAAATATCATAATTGACAATGTGGATCAAATCAAAGACATGATTATCTCCTTTTATAAACAGCTCTTGGGTATTGTAACTAGAAACATCGACCCTTTCTATGTCGACAGTCTACGCATCTTACATCCTTACCGCTCCCAGAGTCGGATCTAAGATTCTCGGAGTCCGATACGAAAAAAAATTAACATTTAATTTAAATATATTTTTTCAAAAAGTCTGATTTTTTAAAATAAAAATATATGTGTGTTTACTTATTTAAATAAAATTATGAAAAAACATACTCAAATTTTTTACTTTTTATCATATAGTCTCACAAAATAATAGATTTCACAAAAAAATTTTTTACTCTCACTTAATCTTCATTTTTTCCATTAAATATACATATTTTCAATAAATTAATACATAAATATGTTTTTTAAGTGGAACCCCTACAAGTTGGGGGTCTCATTCAAATTTTTCAAAAAACTCCTCTCAGATCCGGCTCTGACCGCTGCTCAGATGATCTACAGGGGATCCTAGCTCAGATTCCTTCTAACGAAGAGATTACTTTTGTAATCTTCTCTATGCCCAAAAACAAGGCTCCCAGACCAAATGGATTCTCAGTGGAATTTTTCCTTGAAGCTTTACCGATTGTGGGTGGGAACAATATCAAAGCTGTTAGGGAGTTCTTTGCGGCTGGGTTTTTGTTGAAAAGGTTTAATACGACGACGTTGCACTACTTCCTAAAATGCCTCGTGCAGATCTTTTGTCTGGATTTAGACATGTATCGTGTTGCAATTCCGTATACAAGGTGATTGCTCGCCTGCTCAAGAACAAACTAAAGCTTTTTATTCCGGATGTGATCAACTTAATCAGGTTGGCTTCATTCAAGGTCGTCTTCTATGCGAAAACGTCATTCTCGCCTCTGAATTGGTTGATGGATTCCATAAGGAAGGAGAAACTAAACAAGGGTGCTTACAAATTGACAGTACAAAAGCTTTCGACAACCTTAATTGGAATTTCCTCTTGAATATTCTTGAAGCGATAAGGCTGCCTCCTGTTTTCATCTTTTGGATCAGAGAATGCATTACTACAACTTCATATAGCATTGCTTTCAATGAAGTTTGGTTGGGTTTTTGATGGAA